ACTAAAACGCTTTAGTATGGAAAACTGAAACAAGGGAGAATTACCAATCGAAAGTAATGCCAAGTAAGACTCAAAGTCCGAGTACCGAAGTCGAGATAGAAGAGATGAGTCGAGTACCTTATGCTTCAACAGTTGGCTCGATCATGTATGCTATGACTTGTACTCGCCCTGATGTGGCCTTCACTTTGAGCATGGTCAGTAGATATCAAGGGAACCCTAGAAAAGCACATTGGACCGCAGTCAAGAATATTCTTAAGTACCTTTGGAGGACAAAGGATGGTTTCTAGTCCTTGGAGGGAGTGATGACTTAAAGGTGCGAGGGTATAGTGATGCCAGTTTGCAGACCGATAGGGACAACTACCGTTCACAGTCAGGCTGGGTCTTTACCCTTAATGGAGGAGCAGTGACTTGGAAAAGTTCCAAGCAAGAAACCGTAGCTGATTCAACATGCGAATCAGAGTACATTGTAGCGAGCAAAGCATCAAAGGAGGCAATATGGTTGAAGAGCTTCATTGGAGACCTTGGAGTTGTACCTTCAATAAAAGAGCCTATGGAAATTTTCTTTGATAATGAAGGAGCGGTTGCCTTGACCAAGGAACCGAGGTATCATGTTAGATCTCGACATATCGATAGAAAATATCACTTTATTCGATATCGGGCAGAAGAAGGACTCCTCGTAGTAAAGAGGGTATCGTCAGAGGATAACCTAGTAGATCCGCTTACGAAGGGACTGAGTAAGGTTAAGCACTTGCAGCATGCTAGGAGCATTGGGATGAAGGGCGATATTAGTTTGGATTAGATAGTTTAGAAATGTGTAATAGATAAATGTAATCGACATTTGATGATTAAATAAAGAAATATTATTTATAAGTAAAGTTACTGTCTTATGTTAATTGTTTAACTATTGTTTCACTTTGCGTGTTTTGACTTCCTGAATAATTGAGTTAATTAAGAATAATCAAATTATTCAAACGGTCCACAGTCGTTCATATGTTGGAAGTAGGTATGAATGAAGATTGTCATGAATTGGTGTGTAGATTGTCTGAAAGGTATTAGACATAGCAAAGGTTTGCTACAATGTTCATGAGTGCTTATGAACAAGTTTTGAGCATTGGAATAAACCCGCGCTTGCTGGAATCACTTCATGGAATTTATCACGAGTGATCGCAAGACGATAAAATCATATGGTCTTAAAACCAAGATATATGGTTTATTGTTTGCTAATTGGTTGTGCATTGATAATGCGAAAACGCATCAGTAACTTGATGTCATAAAACGCATTGTTGTGTATAATTTGATTAGTGAATAGTAAATGCATATAAGTCAAAGTTTATTTGTTCATTTTATCCTAAGAGGGTAAAAGCGATATCAGGGCCCATCGATGATTTGATTTGACTTATGTGTCGGGCCCGGTCAGGACTGGATTAATGTGTTCAATTAAGTTCTATGTGAAATGAATTTGAGATCGAGAAACAAACTGTTGGACCATAAGTATGACTATGTTCCATGTGATTGTCCGTATGATATCTAACACAGAGGACCGTATGATCCCTTATCTGAAGGACAGGTTGTTGATAATATCAGAGTTTGACAACGTCTTTGAGAGCTACGATTGCTAATCGAGTTATGATTGCATTTATGGTTACTAGACTTATCCAAGTTGGAGACTGTTGGATTAGTGTCTAAGCTTGTAACCACGTTTTTGGTAAGTACTTGACCCGGTTGTGCATGGTCCTTTTGGGTTGCCTTCATCAATGCAATTTGACTGGAGAAATAATAGAGAAAGAGGTTATTATGATTTATTAATATATTATAAGAATAATATATTAAAAGAGAAATCATATTTTTTTTAATTAATATTAGTCAATAATTAATTAAGAATTAATTAAACTAGAGGGGTTGAATTGTAATTATGTGATAGTTGCAAATTAGGGCAAAGGATGCCCTGTGGATAGGGTGGACGAATTCAAGGGGATAAGGCCCTAGAATTCATCCAAGGATAAGGATTCTAGACTTATCTTATGGGTTGTTTAGTGAGCAAGCAACCAGATAAGGATAAGGACTGAAACCCTAATCTCTATCCTATTTAAGTACCCATTGGCTAAGGGAAATCGGCCACTTGATCCCTAGTTGACCTAGAGCCAATTTTCTGCCTCTCCTCTCTCTCTCTCTCTCTCTCTCTCTCTCTCTTGCCTCTCCATTTGCTTTTGGTGTTTGTGAGCCATTAAAGGTACTACACTTGTGGTACTTGCTTTCAAAGACAAGAAGATTGAAGATTTGAGTTGTTATTACAATATAACAAAAAGAGGTATGTAATCCCTTCTACTATCTATATTTCGAAATACCTAGGAGCATGCTAGGGCTGTTCTTGTGTTCATAGTGTTGTGTATCTAATAGTGAAAACATAGATCCAAATCTAGGGTTGCATGCACACATAGAATTGTTTGTATAAAAATCTAGGAAGTAAAGTGTTTTAATTTGTTTAGAATTTCGCACTGATTGAAAACTATGATATTTCTCATAGAATAGATGTATAAAAATACGAGTCATTATAATTATAGAGGATGAATATGATCTTGACACACCAAATAAAGTTGTAAGAGAAATGCCACTGATTAATATCAAAATGACGATAGAGGTCATTTGTTAGAAATTTATTCATATGCATAAATATGTATTGGTTTTGTTAATAAATTTGTAATTAACCCTAATTCATTATATATGAAAAAATTACTTTTTTTTTTCAATTTTCGGATAATATAATTTATAATATTATTGTAATGAAAAAATATAGATTATATATTTATTAATAGTTAATCCGTTAAAGATGGGTTTTATATAAGTTATAAGAATAAAATATAAAATGAAATAAAATGAAATATATATTTTTAGGTAAACAAAGAAATAGAATAAGAAATTAAATATTATTTTTCTGGTAATTATACTCTATTTTCTTAAAATAGATATAAGTCAAGACTAAAAGACAATCTTCCCTAATAAATAAAGAACTTTTTGTCATATGTCACCCTCTCATTGATTTGATCACATGTTATTTTGTGGTTATTTTCAATGAGTTTTTTTTTTCCACTTGACATTTTATGACTTTTTTCATTTTATTAGTTTCCACATAATATTTAAATGTAATAAATGCAACAAATTTAATAATAAATACATATTAATTTCATTAATTGACTTCTTTTTAATTTCAAATTTTCAAAATTAAAGTTTATTAGCTTCTTTTGTTTATTTATCTAAATTATTTGTTTAATTTAAAAGAAAACAAACAATTTAATTTTAATAAATAATATTTTTCAAATTTTTTTTTATAAATTTAAACTTCTAAAATGTTTAGAATTTTATATATTTTTTTAAATAAACTCATATAATACATTGGTCTTACACCTAGTAATATATTCTATGACTATTTTTGCACTTCACCCTCTTATAAATCCTTGGCTGCCTATTTGGGCCAATCCCACAATGAATTAGGGATGAGCGTGAGACAGAATCGGTACTGACCTGTACCGTTCCCGATTTCCTGAGTATTGAATTTGATCGAATGTTAATCTTGAGTATCGAACCGGATTAACATCACCGGTACCGGTACCAGGAATGGTATCTGTACTCAGTACTAGTACTGGTACCGGCGTTACCGATTCCCGAATTTAATATATCTTGAGTACCAAGTACCGTCTCATATTTTTAAATTCGGTACGGTACCGGTACGGGATCGGGATTTGGGACAAAGTGCTCATCCCTACAATGAATAGTTTTCTTTTAAATCTCTTGGATCCATATAAATATTATAGAAACAGAATCATCAACGTGGTTGTTGGTAGTCTTCTTCACCGGTCATTAACCCGGAGACCCCATTAATTCCGACAATCATCTCCTTTATCTAATTTTACTTTTTTTCTAGCACATTCCTCTAATACGTAAACAACCAATAATTAATACACTGTCCTTTTAAAAATGACGTAACAAAACGGAATTATAAATTGATATAGAAACCTTTGACCATATTTTTTGTAAGTAATATGACCGAAGGCTGTTTCGACTAACGAGCCTGACAGAAACTATAGGTATCTTTGTTTTTCCAACTTTGAAGTAATGATGTAATTCCTCCAAACATTACTATATATAATAAAGAAAAGCACCAGCATGTTTAGCGATGATGGATGAATCTATTGATAAACAATATACCGCCCACGAGATAGATTTTTTGGTTAATTTTGAGACGTATTATGGAATTTTTTTTTGTTAGTTTTGTGATTGATAAAATCTATAATGTCCATTTATCATTGATATGTCATATATATTGTATATTTGAATATGAATGACTATTGGTCCGAGCAAACGGACATATATAAAATTAACAAAAAAAAATGGTCACTAATACGTCCCAAAATTAACCAAAAATATATGTTGTGGGCGTTATATATTTTTTAGTCTATGGCTAAGCATACCTGTGCTTTTCTTTATTATAGTAATGTTTGTAGGAATTCCACCATTACTTAAAAAGTAGGAAAAACAAAGATACAAATACAAATATACAGTAGATCGCATTCAAATTACATAGGATAACAACAATTTCATTCCGTTTTCACTTGTTTGCTTTCTTGATCAGTACTGACTTCTGTACCAGTAGATACCTTTGTTCTTCTCATCACCCTCATCCGGCTCAACAAACAGACAGTTCTTGGATTCTCTCCATAACGCCATGAAAAATGGAGTGCTATCTTTTTGATAAAACTCTCCCACAATTGGCCTGATCGCTTTGGTGGCTTCCATGGCATGATAATGAGGAGTGTAAGAGAACAAATGGTGTACGACATGTGTGTCAGTAACGTTATGGAACACCTTGTTTAGAATTCCGTAATCCCTATCCATTGTTGAGAAAGCACCATTCATCCAGTTCCATTGAGAGTCGTCGTAGCGGGGCAAAAGACGGTGAGTGTGTTGAAGGTATGTGATGGTAACAAGAAACGCGTTCATGACCATCAACGCACCTCCGTAGACACAAAAACATTAGCGAACCCTGCAAATGTCGCCATTTTATACAGCAACCAAGAAAAGCTGACAAGTCCGATGTCAGTGATGAGGATCAGGACTCGCTCGTTATCAGAGAAAATAGGGCTTCTTGGATCATAGTGGCTTGCGAATTTATCATAAGGTCTTCCGGCAGCATTGATGGACAAGTAGATATACCATCCGAGACTGAGTTTGACAGCAAGGGTTAACGTTCGACCTATTGGATTGTCGAGGTAAAACGCCGAAGAACCGAGTTTTGATTTTGTCTTTGGGACATATACTTCGTCACGGTCAAAAGAACCAGTATTAGAATGGTGACGACGGTGGCTTATTTTCCAAGAAAAGTAAGGCGTTAGAAGGCATGAGTGTATAACAAACCCTATACAATCGTCGACCCATACATAGTCACTGAAGGCATGGTGACCACATTCATGACCAATAACCCAAATTCCGATGAACACACAACCTTGAACGAACCAATAAACCGGCCATGCAAGGTAAGGAAGAGGGTGAGGGAGTTGTGGAATATAAGTTGTGGCGAGGTAGTACAAGATCCAGACAACGGTGAGGTCATGGACAAGATATGAAAAGGATCGAATCAAGGATCTTTCAAAACATTGAGGAGGTATGGCTTTCTTGATATCTGCTAATGTAAAGGGAGGTTTCGTGGTTGGGGCTCGTTTGCTACTTTGTGTTTCGGAGTTCTTAACATCTAGATCACTAGGATATGAACGGCCGGCTCCCATGTTTCTTAAGAAATAGATCCACAAAAAGCCAATTAGAAAATACAAAAAAGGGAGTATGTGACCTTTGGATATAGGGTCTGCCATATATATATAATATATATATATATATATATATATATTATATATATATATATATATATATATAATATAATATATATATATATATATATATATATATATTATAATATATAATATATATATTCTCATTTAAAGATCAACGTTTGACTACGTCAATATTGGTTACAATCTATTGCATACTTTCATTTTATTAGAGTCAATCAATCAAATTCATATTTGTCTTATTTTATAATTCATACCACAGTTACGATTGAGTATAGCACACACCAATTATTGATGTAAATATCATATCGTGTGTAAACAATATATAATATTGGTATTTATGTTGTTCATTTATTAAATAAACAAAAATAAACGTTTAAATTGTTTACGACCCTACATTAATTACACTACTTTTATTTACACACGACACTAATTTCACACTACTTTTATTTACGCAGACACGGCTAGAATTATACATCCGTTGAATATAGCCTTAAAATGTTCCAACGTGCCTTTGTCACATAGCATGACTTTCCAACCTTTAAGAGAAAAAATAAATATGCCGGAGAATTTCCTTTTATTGTTCGGTAAAAAAACTAAACGAAAAACACATGGCATGACTTTCGAACCTTTAAGAGCAAAAAATAAATATGCCGGAGAATTTACTTTTATTGTTCGGTAAAGAAAACTAAACCAAAAAATTATTGGCTCCTTCTCTTACTTATCGGTTTCACCGCCAAAAATGAAATAAAAATGGCGAGGAAGAATATGGATTTGTAGATGTTGTAGAAGGTATGTAACGAAATGTTACTTAAGAATTCATATTAAATCAATTGAAGGTTTTGGTTTCTTTCACGTATTATATAATCTTGTTTGTTGTGCAAGAATTTCAATCTTATAGCTTGGTTTAATCTTACTTTTACTGGAACATAAATATTTAATATATTTGGATTCGTACAAAGTCATTATAATCTAAAGTTAGTCAAGCATGACTAGTTTTAGGCTTTTAGCGAATTTATTAATGAGTTCATTTTTAATGGTTACAACTTTTTTATATTTAAGAGAAAATTTTATAATTGGATCCTATCCTTTGTAAAATATCTCATTTGAGAACTTTCAAGGAAAACATCACGTTACTAGCCGTTACTAGCCTTTATGGTTTGCAAAATTACATCAAAGGTCTTTGTGTTCGTACATCTAATTTTTCAGCTATTAGATTTTAATGAAAAAACTATTTTATATTTCTACCAAATTTACAATATACTACAAACCTCTACGATCATTAATGTAATTTTGTAAATTTGAAATTATATATATATATATATATATATATATATATATATATATATATATATATATATATATATATATATATATATATATATATACTATTTATAAAAGAAATCTAACTATTTCTATAAATATATTGAATATAATAATATTATTTTTTTAAAACGTCCAAACTATTAAGCTTGAAGTACAACCCATTTGTAATATAATAATATTAAAACTTTAACCCTATCATTTATCCCCTAAAAATCTCGTATCAAATTAATAGAAGAATTCATTTGCAAATTGAACCCGTCAATCTCAACACTTCAGCCATTTCAAGCGGTCAATGTCAACAATTTATAGAGGATCTCTTCTCTCACATTGGTAACAAGCCATCTCATAATATCTATCTTCGTGATCCCTTCAAAGTAAGAAATATACGCACACTCTCTCGAAGAACCTTAACCAATAACCAAGACAGTATAACCACCACCACCACAGCCGCTCTGCCTCTTTCCACCTTCAACCAACCACTATCACGACTACCGCCCTTCCTCTCACCCACGACATGAACTTTCTTTTGGAACATAACATTTTTCTTTAAAAAAATATCGTTGAAAGAAGCTATTTATCCCTGCCGTTGTGCGTGGGTAACGACTAGTATATATATATATATATATATATATATATATATATATATATATATATAATATATATATATATATATATATATAATTTCAACAACTAGATAACCTTTTTTTGTTTTTGATATTTTGTTTTCTATTTTTATTTTACAATTTTAGTTATTTATGGTTTTTTTAATGTTTTTATTTATTTTGATTTTAAGTAAGTAAACTTAAATTCGATAAACTATATCAAAAACCGTTTTTTTCTTTGTTCTTTCTTAATTTTGAATTGAAGCGCTAATATATATATATATATATATAATATATATATATATATATATATATATATATATATAATTTTATGTTGTTACGATTCATGTTTGTTTGTTTTTTTTTTTTTTTTGATGATCCATAATTACTATTGTTAGCAACTTTATGTTTGCATTTATCATTATATTATATATATATATATATATATATATATATATATATATATATATATATATATATATATATAGTTATTTATTATTCTTCTACTGTTTTTATTTATTTTGATTCAAGTAATTAAAAAAAAAAAAAAAAAAAAAAACCAAAATTATAGTATACTCTAATATATTAATACGTCTATGGGGATAGAAGGGTAAAGCCATGAAAAGCCTAAGGGCTAAGTTGCAATTTTAGGAACAAGAGGAGTACGTTGCGCGTACATACGGGTACGTTGAGCGTACTGGGCGCACCCTAGTATGTTGGACGTACACTTGTGTATGTTGGGCGTATTCATGAAAGAAGAAAACCCTAATATTTAAGGTCTGAGTGCTATGTAAACAACCTTATGAGCTCATAACCCTCCCTTACCTCACCCTCCACTGTTTAGAGTCGTTTTCTCCAAACCCTAACCATTTCCTTGAGTGTTTGTGCGTATTGAGTGTTTCTTGAGTGTTTTAAGAAGAAAGTGTTGCATCAAGGATTGGGAGAAGAAGATCAAGCTTGTAGATCTGAAGTTGGGTTGTACCCTAGAAGCTCCAGAAGGTAAAAAAGCTTCAAACTTTATGCATATATGTATAGATCTTGCAGTTTTGCTTTAAAGAACCATTTCTTCTCCCAAAAATTCCCAAGATGGTGCATGATGTGATTCGGATGAAATGAACTATCCTTCTAGACTCGTGAAGGGGTTTTGAGTGATAAAAATGAGGTCCCAATGGCTTAAGATGTCCCATTCATGGAGTAGGAAGGTCTTAATGGATTAAGACCAAGTATTAAGAGCTTTCTGGACATCCAAAGTGATAACGTTCGTGACTTCATGGGTCCTAGGCACATGTGGTCTTTGGATATGAATTTGGGCTTAAGTGCTTCAGCCATTATGCACTTATTCAGATTTTAGCAAACCACTACGTATGCCCAACGTTAATCCAGTACGCCCAGTGTGCTGGGTCAACCACCCCGATGGTGGTCAACATCAGGACAAGTACGCCCAGCGTAAGTCCTCTGTTGCGCCTTTGACAATTGGGTTACGGGCTGTGGACTTTGTATGGAATAATTGGATTTGGGAATTTACTGGACTTTATGAATATGGTGTTTTGGGCCACCTTTGGATATGGATCTTTGATTAAGGCCCAATTAGGGAGTTGGGCCCAATATGGTAAATTGGGCCAATAATGGGCCTTGTATATGTGGACTTGTGGACCATGAATTGGTATTGGGCCTTGGCCCAAATTATAGAAAAGGCAAACTGGACTATATGGATCCCTTAGTTAAGATTGATAACCCATATGTTGATTTAGCATTTTTTAATTTTGGATAGTTCGGGATTCTTGGCGGGACGGTAATTCGGGAAAGTGACTCTTCAGTTCGTATCTAACAATGTGAGGTGAGTTATCCTCACTGTACTCAAGGGTCTAAGGCACCAAGGTCGGCCCTTTGATTTGTTATTTGGGATTGTTATTGTTGTAATATGTTAGCTCGGTATCCTACTAGATAGGATGGTTATATGTTAGTATGATTAGTTAGATCGGTATCATGGTAGATCGGATGTGGTTATGCTTAGTGCCATATAGTTTGGTCTGACTATCTGTATGCTAGTAGGAGATTACCTATTATACGTGCACATGATTGATTGGTAGTTGAGGGTATTCCATCCCGAGGGTGATTGGACCCTAGTATGTTGTCTTTATAGGGTTGTTAAATGATTATCTGATATAGGTGTACATGTTTGATTGGTTATGGGGGCATTCCAACCTGATGGTTAAGGGCCTAGGGTATTCCAACCCGATGGCGATTGGACCCATAGTATGTTGGCATTCCACCCCAATGTTTCAGGGGCCTGCGGTATTCTATCCCGATGGATGATTGGACCCATAGTATCTGTTATATATGTATTGTGTGTGTGCATTCCAACCGATGGTTGTGGGCCGAGAATATTCCATCCCGAGGATAATTCTACTCGTAGTATGTGGGCATTCCAACCTGATGGTTGAGGGCCTAGGGTATTCCAACCCGATGGTTGATTGGACCCATAGTATGTTGGCATTCCAACCCGAGGGTTGAAGGGCCTGGGCAATTCCATCCCGACGGATGATTGCACACATAGTATGTTGTTTGTTATTGTATGTGTATTGTTGTATGTATGGGTATTTTGGGGGTAACTCACTAAGCCTTTGAGCTTACATTTATCGATTATTGTTTGTGGTGTAGCAGATGACCGCGGGAAGGCGAAGGCGTGACCGTACACTTCCTCGATTTATGATTATGATTTTTGGGAGCGCTGATGCTTAACATATTTTTAAAATTTTTATGTATAATTAATGATATTTTGGATATTTAAAAAGTTTTAAATTTTCTTGATTTTTATGGATGTTACAAGTTGGTATCAGAGCCTTCGTTTGAGTGAATTGGAGGAATACTCGTGTAAATCCAGTCTCAATCAAGGAAATATTTTCAAAACGATTTTTAAATGGTTTTCAGAATAATTAAAAGAGGATGTGAAGTGTACAATCAGTTTGATCCAGTAAGTAGACACCAAATTACCATGTAGTTATTTGATTA